ACCTTTTGGGAATGCAAGGCTTTGTAAAATTTAATAAAAAAGTCAGCTCTACTTTTATCGCCTTCTTTTAGTTTATGAGTATGTTTCGAGAGTAGATCTTAGTTAAGAGGTGTACTTATCACATTTCGGTTAAAGTGATAAAGGACTAATCGCAGGACTGCCGGGATTCGAGTTCCGCTGAGGCTGATGATGAGGAGCAGGCAAAGCTGAAACTGGAGTCTAGTCAAGTTGGAATGAAATTACGGATCGGTAGCAGAGTTACGTGTAATTGAATATTGTAACAACTTTAGCTCATTCCTTTTTCAGCTAAAGTAGCTTAGGATGACAATATTTGCTGTTTTCATTGCCAAACTTGTGGAAGATTTATTAGTTTTTTTACGATTAACTGCATTGTACCAGTAGAACAACTTTTGGGAAAATGTGGATGCACCTGGACAGCAAGACAAATACCACAACTGTTTAGCAGATAAATGGTCAAAGGAACGATGGGGTACTTAGAGTGTTAAGGCTTACTGATCATGCCGGTGAAACGTCTGGGAAAGTAGCAATTCCACAGTCCGACTTTGGAAAGTATCATGCTATGCTTACTAGGGATTCCTGACAAGGTGTATTCTTCGAAGTCTTTCATGTTTCATTTTCAGTTTAACTTTGGCACTACTTTTTATTTTTATATTAACTTTTACCCAGAGTGCCTTTTTAGTGCTAGTCAGATTTTTGTGATACTTTTGTGTATTCTCTTTGCAAGCATTATTTACTTGTCATGCCATCTTTATTTTTATCGGAAGCCAGAAAGCACATATCTTTCATCCCAAAGGCTTCACTTTCTGATTTTCCCCTCTGGCTGATATGGTAACTTGTGTTGTGCTATCGGCTATCAATGCTTTTCACATGTGCATTTGAGCGCAAACTGCACAGCATGTGTGAATAGTTCTGCAACATATCCTCTCATCAAACCGAAAATAGAGGTTGGAAATAATACTCGTCAGATACATTGGCCGCACACATCGTTTCGTGAAATATCAATCTTTCCTTCTTTGTGACAGAGAACTACATAAAATGGAATGGTTTCTTACTATCTCCTGTGGCTATAGCAGAAAGGCTGCAAACGAGTTGTTGATCTGAATGCATGATTTGCCTTAGGGCAACCACAATTAGCTTTGCTATTTGACCCAGCAAGTATCAGAATAAACGATTCATGGATCGACATGCATACATTACTACGGGCCAAATATCGATACAAACAGTAAAGTAATATAGAAACTTTTTATTGTCTATCACAAGAAAATTGTTTTCCTTTCATCTGGCATATGAAAATGACTTGTGCAGTCAAAAAAGTTACATTTTGACGAAATTTGAACATTTCAAACCCTTAACTAATGCTCTTATTCTCATCAAAATCTGCAGTGAAGCTTCACGAGGCTAGGGGTGAATCGAACTAATTTACATATTTTTGACTTCACAAATAAATAATCCTATTTTTTTGGAAACACATCAGTCGGTAGATGACAGATATAATGATCACATTCTTAGTAATATTTGCAATGAAAATAGGCTACACAGCATGAGCAATTGGGGGCGAATGCAATATAAGTAGTGTACATAGTAGTATGCGTTGAGTTTAGCGCACCTCAAACCCCATAGGCTTTAATAAAAAGTTTTAAAAGGTTTACATTTCAAACGAATGCATACATTCTGATATCTTATCTATGGTGCTAGAGCTAATAAATTGGCCCCATTATTAATTATTAATTATTACGATACTCTGATCAATGCAGATTTTACATTTTTCCTATCTACTTTGCTGTTTCAGCTAGATCAAGAAAGAAGAGGAGGCCATACACACGGTACCAGACGATGGTCTTGGAAAACGAATTCATAAGCACAGCCTACATAACGCGACAGAAGAGATGGGAAATCTCTTGCAAACTCCAACTAACTGAACGACAGGTTAGTGATCTGAATATTCCCTTAATAACGGGGTTTAGTGTAAGTTCAATGGCGTTGTTATTGGCGTCAAGCCCTAAATCATTAATCGAGAGTCTGAGTAGTCATCAGGTGACCCTAAAGTTGAGTATTCTAAGTCCACCAAACTGTCCATAAAATTGTTTTCACCTAAATTGTAGTGAATTTTTGGTTATTTCTTCAACTAAAGTCAACAGACGAAGTCTCGTTTGAACTAACAGAGCCGACCTGGTTTTCTCCCCTTAAGTCTAATTTCAGAACGGTCGAATGGTTAAGACTGGACAGAAGTAATGGTAATTATGCAAAAGAGTGAAAGCGCATCCTCTCGGCATTTGTGTTGCTAAGGGACTATGCATATCTCAACAACTGTGGTTAATGTGTAGCGAATTTCTGCGCCATGAGTTGCAGACACAGAACACACTACTTCTTAGCCCAATTTTTGCAAGCACAAAATGCACCAAAGTAATAATTAACTTGATGACTCAATGATTAGAAATACTTGTTTTCTCCCTTTGGTTATCTTTTCGCATCTAAGACTGGCTGGACTGTGCATTTGGGTTTATAATTCATGAAATGGATGCTTATGAGGCTAGGCTTTATGATGAACCAAGCAGATGCACAAGACCCGACATGTATTCTCACAGTTCTAGTTGAAAAACTGCCTTCCATTCGATTACACGTACACACCACCACGCATACGGGAAATTTTGGTCCAAGATTACTTCTCGTGCAAAGCTGTCATGCCTAATCCAGGCGGGCAGCAACACAGCCGAGCGAGACGTCTGGGTGCCCTAACTCCGGCCGGGTGTTCTGCCAACTTCAGAAAGATTTGTGCCTTCAAATGGCCAACTTTGTGGGCCGGATGATATTTTCGTCTTTATTAGGCTTCGAAAATATCCATAATTCCTAAATAAGACCTAGGATACTCCAGGTCGCTTATGATGATTTAAGTAGTAAAAGAAAATATTTCGCAACTGTCTGTTGAGTAGACCTTTGTTTTGCCTCCAAAAGGATGATTTATTCAGAGTGGTCTAGACTGCACATTCAAACCTACAACCCCGAGTCCCTGTGGGTCATACAAGTTAAATGTGACATTTAAGGCAATCCAGTCCTTGCCCAAATCATAATTTTAATGGGATTGTCGATAAGCAAATATGTGTGCACCACTAGAATAGGGAGACGTGCTTATACCGAAAATACAAATATACGAATCTACCTTTTTAGAGACATTTTCTCACTA